GTTTAGTTCTTCCATTTCGTTTACCTGAAACCTTAGTTTTCTTGAATGGAAAACTAAAGAATACAGGCTATATGTTAAAAGCTGTTTTAGTTTGCCGTTTAAACACGAAATTTCAGTTATATTAAAGAGCGTTTTGAATTAACATCGTTTAAAGCTGGTGGAATTGAAAACAATGCTGTAACATTTTAATTACTGTATCCTTAATGTTTCTCTCCCGTTTATGCTTTTGCTAATATTTTTAACGTTTCTTTGTCAAAAAACAATAAATAGATATCAGATTTACATTCCGTTGTAAACTTTCTGTTTACTTTGACACTGTTAAATGATAAGTCATACAAGAATCATTACCTATGTCATAACACAAACTGAAATTGAGTTTTGTTTACCGATCTGATGGAACGGTAATGATGTAGTGAATAAGAAAACGAGTGGGGACAATCGAACGTATTCGACACGAAGTTGCAAAGCATCTCAGTAAAATCTGAGAACCATATAGTAAATAGTTAATTTGAAAATTATCAGTCCATTGTCTCAAATTTAACTGTTCCTTTGCAAATATCAGTCTATTGTCTCAGACTTCATTGTTTATGCATTTTCATACCAATTGCGTTCCGTTCCTGTTCTTTCTTATCGATCTTCTACTGAAATACATTCTATGCCTGATCACCGTTATATACTACTTACGTGGATATAAATAACTCATACTACAATGACGCTAATGAAATGTTTATCCTATTTACTTCGTACACGTTCTGTCGACAAATGATTTTGGTATAGCATAGATAATAATAGTCGAATACGAATTGTATTTCTGATAAGTATGTTTTAGACATGCTAGTAATGAAGAATAGATAAGCAAAGAGAAGATACAGGGATTGTATAAAACATTTGTGTTCGTTAAGACAAACACAATGATTAATAAAGTGACAAAGTTTTTATCAATCATTTAAGAAAATAGATGAAGTGAATATATGACTACATATTATCATGCACACATGTATAAAAAATGATCAAGGAGATACGCGAATAACTAACAAGGGCAAATATATGTGTTTTTGATTAAGCTCATGAACCGATCGATGTTAGACCACCATTGAAAACACCGTTCGATGCTGGCTTAGTGGTCGAGACGTTAACTGTTCGCGCACGCGATCAAAGGTCCTGAGTTCGAATCTCGCGCGGGAGATCGTGGATACGAATTGCTCAGCAGTCCCATACTATAACGAGACGGACGTCCGGTACTTCCAGGTTTTCAATGGTGGTCTAACATTGATTGATTCATGTAAGTTTGTAGTTATAAAAATTGCTAAATATGCATTAATTTACTATGGTATTTTGTGGAGTTATATATATATATATATACTGGCACGCATATTATTCTTTTGAATACAAATGGAAATCCGTTTACTTTACAATGAAAATCAGATATTTCTTTGCAACCTGGTTTTTATGTTTATCTAAACTGAATAAAACATAAGTTTTTTTATCTGAATTCAGAAGTAAATCTGGACAATTTACATAGACTGATCACCGAATGGTAATTAATTTCATTTATTAAGTGTTCTTTTAGGTTTGATTGAATTGTGTTAAATAAGTTGTAACGAATGTAGGTACCTTTTCATTGGATGCATTAGGCAGTCGCGAAAAAAAATCGATCAACTCCGTTCAGACACTTGATGACTCAAGAACGCAAAATATCTTGTCTGACATGAAACTGATCAGTTCTAGATTTCTTCCTATTTAAGGTTAAGCGTATGGTTCACTCACTCAGTAACATAATGATTAAGCACTCTCTGGGATACTTGATAAACCTGGTTTTTATGCTTAATGTTTAGTAGTTAGGTACTACTAAAGAGTTATACACTAGGATGAAATAGTCGTTTAGTATTTCCTGAATTCCAGTGGTGATCAAATTGAAATCATTCTACGAATTCAGTGATCTCTACAACACTCCTATACGAACGATAAAGTTTATTTGCTTCAGGCATTTTACCACATTTTCAAGTATCTTTAAAATTCCATTCCTTATTATTCCCATTCACGACTGTTTTGATATAAGTTACCACTGGAAATATTTTTTCACTTGTTCACCCTCCAAAAACAAAGAAACAACTCAAATGTTTTATTTAATAATATTACAACAATTTGAATGAATACAAAATAGACAACTAATTCGTTTTACCTCTACATTTATATTTGTTTCAATTTCTTGGCTAAATTAAATTTTCCCTTATTTCTAGACATAGGTAATTCCCAAGCTTCCACCGATTTCTCGCCATCGTTACTTTCTTCAATGTCCGTAAATCTATTATTTACAGTTCCCTTTTTTCCCCTGATTTTTGCTTCACTCGGTTAATGTTGTTAACAAGATATTGAAATAAATAGAAGTTTTGTTACTGAATGGAATAAATTGACAAACGTTTGCGTTTCACAAAAAAGTAAAATAAACATAACGCTTAATTGAATTGATCATAATTGAATCATCTCCTTATCATCGTATTTCTTTTTTTCTGGGTAGTATCACAATTGTGGAAATGTTTTCTACCGTAAATTCCAAATGATATGATATGAATTATTGAAACATAGTAAGTATTTGCTGATTTTCATAATTTACGCAATTAGACAACCATTAATAGATGATTGTTTCATCTCGGTATGGGACTCATTCCAAGCGTACATTCACGATCCCAAATGGAGTTCGAAACCAAGAACATCAGGTATCCTCTTAGCCAGTTTTCTGTTTTCTCCTTGTTTAAACGGAGCTTAATAGAAAGCATATATAAACACGTCCTGTTACCTAGTTTAACTCCGCCTGTAGCTCTTCTAGAGTTATTACCGGTTCCAAGCCCGGGTAAAGGAGGAGGGTTGGGCATGGGGTTAGAGACCCCATCCCATAGAAAACTAACTCGCTAAAAAGCGCTAACCAGAAAAAACAATTCAAACCTGTTACCTAGTTTGATCTAGTCATTAATAAATATTTTCAAGGCGAAGATTGTATGGTAAACTTTATTGACTAGAGTTTAATAATAATGTACTCAAATTAAACGTAGAGGTTTGTAAATTGACATAGACAAGAGCGTGTGAGGTGTGGTATTCGATAAATAAATGATTCATATATTCCTAGTAGCCCAAATTCTTTTGTGAACTGTCCGGGTATAATTGGGATATTCAAAAATGAATTAAAATCTTGAATGATTCTCTTATTAAAAGTTACCAATGTAGATGGATTCTGAAACAGCGATTTAAAGCTTTTGGGTTTGCTGTCAAAGTTAATGGTATTTAATTTTGGTTCTTCGGTAAGGTTTATAGTTGTACATTATTCAAGTGTCTGGTATAAGGATGAGGCAAAATAATTTAATTAGACAATATGTATCATTTAAGTGTCGGATAAAATCTGCAATAAAACTCTCTCATTTAACGAAATAAGCACAAGAGGTTATCTATATCAAATTTACTGTTTCTCATAAATCATGGGATACTATACCGACGGAATTACTGAATAGGTTTTTCCGTCAACAGTCGGATTCAATTCTATTGAACAATTCAATACGCTTACCAAACCAGCCATTCATAATAGAAAGGCATAAAGTATTTAGGAAGCTGTATGTCCAAATACTGACCAATATATTTCGGTTAGTTGACTGATCCTGATGTGAACACAGTGCAGTAACCTACGTACATGATCCACTTAATACATTTACTCAGATTTAAATATCTCACCTACCAACTGGCCATACGATTTCATGAGACCAGTACAGGGTTGCTCAGTATGTCATTATATTTATATGTGAACTATAAAGGTGGTAAATGTTAAATGATATGGAAACTGCAGCCATTAAAAATAGGTTAAAGGGGTAAGGAGTTCAGTGGTTGAAATGCGTGAAAAAAGAGAATGAATCACTGTATATGTGAAAATTTTAATTTTCTTCCTTTTAAAACAACAAGCCTGTCAACACGTTTAGTATATCTGTTACACAATCAATGTATCGTCCATATGAACTCCTTCTCTAACCTTCAGTTAAAACAATATCAGACTACAACGGATCGTAATTTCTAAAACTTGATAGATATCTAACATGGATATTTTTAACGCAAATCTGCGAAATTGAATTATAATCAACTGGCTAACAGTTTTATGAAGGCTAAAAGATAATAGTCTATCGAAAGACTATAATTTATGAACGAACCAACATGACATGAGATAACGAGTCTTGGATTTTGGTGCAAGATTCAGTTCGTGATCAAAGCCTTAAACCAAATTCCTAACCTAACCATCACCTGTAAATCATAATTCTGATTCCTCACACTGGTTTATAACTCTCATTTGGTCCTAGTTAATAAGTATACATTCTCAAAGTCGCCTTAACGTCGCTCAAAGGTCATTTATAAATTATAGTCTGACAGAATATACTAACGGGTTTAACAGAATCTAGCTATCCAAACTACAGATTTTCATACTTCTGTTTCCATTCTAACACTCATCAAACTTCATGCATTTGGTTCCCTTTATGAAGTTAAATAAAGCCAAGACAAATTTTGATGCAGATATTCGACATACAATACTTGTCATAACAAAGGGATTCTGTTTTAAGTTTAGAGATAATTTCCTTGGTACATTCGATTTGGGATTTAGTGACATGTTGAAGTTTTTTTTAATGAATAAGGTATTTTACATGCACGGATAGCTTTAATAATATGACAAGGGAAGCAGGCATTATTCAAGCATTGTTAAAAAAACTTCAATCTTGTTAAGCAAAGATGAATAGTAACTAGCAGTGGAATCCAGAACGCGAATTCCGTTCTATTTGGGACTCGTGAGCTGGATGTACCTGTATCCATCTTTGTTTAAAAAGCTTGTGACTTAAGGCAATATTGAGGTAATTTGCATAGGATGCACATATGCCAACATGAGACTGATCAATTACAGTCCTATGTAACAGTCGGAAGATACAAGTAAAACAACACCAAGTGAATTTATTCTTGTTGTTTATCTTGATATCCTGCAACAAATATTGTTCTGGCTTCTATTTAAATTCATCAAACTGATGATTCGACATATATATACATAACATCAACTGAATTACAGGAAGACCGTAGTTCTATTTATTATTCACATATACATATAGATAAGTAATAATGTCTATGAGTTTGATATCATACCCACTGATTAACAATTGTTACCATGACAAAAATATCAAGAAAAAAGAAACGAAGATCAGTTGAATTTTTATATAAATAAATTTTGCATTTATGCGTTAAATAAAAATCTGACCAAAGGGGGGAACATTTCTCAATCTGTATGGGAAATTAGGAAATATATATATATATAGTTTCATTTATTCAATGGATATACATAAATACACACCAATATAATTATACAACAGAATTCGTTTTTGATAAATATCCATGTATACACAAATATCCTATACAATATTCAATAGATACTGATTAGTTAAAATGAAGGGGGGAATAAGATTAAGATATTGATAAATAACTGAATAAAAAGAGTATCTTCAAATATTGATTTCTTAGTTTTATATCATTCAAAAAGTATTACATATTAGGTAATTTGATACCCTATTTATAATATATTCACATTTATAGTATTGTTTATTAGTGATTATCATTAGAAAGAGTAAACAATCAATAAATAATAATTGTTACTAACATAATATTAATTGTATTAATAATAATAATAATAATAATAATAATAATAATAATTGTAACTAAGGAAGAAGATTCAAATTCATTGAAGAGCTGAGCAATTAATTTTAGTAAAACAAAATGACCAAATAATTCATTAGGATTTGCTGCGTTTATAAAAGGCATATATGTACATGTATACTAGTTGTTCACTAGGTATATATATATATTTAAAGAGAGAGAGAGAGAAGGAAGGAGGGAGGGAAGGAGAGAGAGAGACTCATTAGTCATTTGTATAAATAAATCACAGGCTAGTGAATATCATTTTTATAGAAAGAATCCATTTTGATATGTTTATATATTGTTTATCAAAAACCAAAAAAGAGAAGAAAAAGGAGAAGAAGAAGTTTGTTTTTTAAACACGATTAATACTTTCAATAAATCGTCCAATATTTTCTTCAGTTCCAGTAATTTTTGCACGTTGATAGTTGCTCCATAACATACCAGTGACATCAAGTACAATTAAATCGCTTGAGATTTTACTTACTGCTTGTAATAAAAATATACCATCCCAACCTAAATTATTATTAACAAATCGGGCACATTCTGTTTCTTCTGTATGTGATAATTGTTTTAATGCTTTTAAATATTGACGTATAAATTGGACACGACGATATGGTAAACATAATTTTGTAATCCATATAAATGTATTTAATATTGTTAAAGATGCCATTAATATATACCAAAACCATAGAAATATATAGACTTTTTCAATAAAATAATTTACTGGAAGAACACATTGTAGTGTATATCTGTAATGAATAAAAGAAAATAATAATAGTAAGAAGAAATAATAATGAAAATAATTTGGAAAATTAACAAAGCTGCTGTTGCTGTTGCTACAGCAGCAGTAGGTTTTAACATACATAAGGGGTAAAGCAGGATTCTCCAATACAATACACTATGGAACACTCACACTTGATGGAGAATATCTGGAGGATGTAAAAATATTTATATATTTAGGCAGCATCATTGATGAACAGGGTGGATCTGGTGCAGATATGAAAGCGCGGATCGGTAAAACAATAACAGTATATTTACAACTGAAGAACATCTGGAACTCAAAACAACTCTCAACCAACACCAAGGTCAGAATTTTCAATACAAATGTCAAGACAGTTCTACTGTATGGGGTGGAAACCTGGAGAAATACGAAAGCCATCATCCAAAAACAACAAGTGTTTATTAACAGTTGTCTACGCAAAATACTTCGGATTTTTCGGCTGGACACTACCAGCAACAACATACTGTGGGAGAGACCAAACCAGATTCCAGTGGAGGAAGAAATCAGGAAGAAGCGCTGGAAGTGGATAGGACACACATTGAGGAAAGCACCCAACTGCGTCACAAGACAAGCCCTCCCATGGAATCCTCAAGGCCAAGGGAGAAGAGGAAGACCAAAGAACGCATTACACCGAGAAACGGAGACAGACATGAAAAAAATGAACAAGAATTGGATGGAACTAGGAAGGAAAGCCTAAGACAGAGTTGGTTGGAGAATGCTGGTCGGCGGCCTATGCTCCATTAGGAGTAACAGGCGTAAGTCATAGTTTACGTCATTGGCTGACCTTATATTCATTTTGATCAAATACATTAGATAACTTTCGGAACTCTAGTGAAAAGCCCAAATCACTAGAATCCAACCATATGAAGGAGTTGCTCACAATTAATTCAGGAAAATAACTGAGCAGTATCAGAAGTTGAGTGGATTTGGATGTGTAAACCATTCGATGGCAAATTAGTAGTTTAAAGGTTAAGCGCTCACCTCGATATGTAAAACATTCTGTGTTTGATCTTTAATGAAGTCGTGAATGCACATTTCTGATAAGAATTACGGGGTGACAAAACAGCTGTCTGGTGCTTCCTGGTTTTCAGTGGTCATCTACCCATTGTTAGTCCACGATGTACTTCTGAGTATTATTTATCAATACCATGTTTTTGTCTGGACCTTCAAGTGTGAGTGGAATATGTATGTGTTGAATAGCAATGTAGTCGTTCACTAGTCGAAATGAAATTGCACACTATGTCTGGTATTATCAAAGTGCAAATTCTACTCTATTAGAATTAATTTCATTCAGAGAAAGTCTAACATTATTTAATAAAAAACATGATGTTAAATACTAAAAACTGCTAGTCAAATTAACAATACAAAATAAACGTCCTAACTCACTGAGTCATGATCAAGGTCATATTTGTCAGGTCTTTTAGCGATAACAGAATTCAAATGGTAACTTAGACTAGGACTAAAAGATTGGGCAAACATGACAGCGATCAAACAATCCTGCAAGCGGGATCATGGATGCGCACTATTGTGGAATCCCACATCAGGGCGAAACGGCCGTCCAGTGCTTCCAGGTTTCCAAAGGTGGTCTAACATCAATCAGTTCATGATCTCAATCAAAAACTTAATAGTCTCCTCAACCCCTATACTAGTAAAGAGAATTTGATAATACTTGTTCAGGAATATTATTTACTATAATCTTAGACTCTATATTCACTAATGATTAACTTATGATTACGGACATTTTGTAAGTACAGAAAAATAACCTTTCAATTACATGGAAATGTTACAATCAATATACAACCATACCACATATATATAAAGTTTAAGTAGATCATTCGGTGATAGATCACTAGTAACCACATCATGCCTGATGCAAAACTTATAAGTTCCAAGTTTCATTTTAATTAGAGGTGGTATAGTGGCATTGAGTGTATGCCAACGATAAATCTCATGTTCAGTTGAGAAAAATGTCTAATATTTCAAAATGTTCAACCATTATCTCTTTGGAAACTGTCCACAGTTCAAATCATAATCAAACAATGATATTAATAATAGTATATTCGGTTTGATACAAACTGCTTGGCAACAGTAATAATAAAAAATTTGAACTTAGACTTTCCAAAAACTTTCTAAGTTGCATCGAGGCAAGGATTTTTGACAAAATTAGTAATGTAGAGCAATAAAATGTGTAGAGAGTGCATAAACCTTAGTGAAATAAAATTAATTAAGGACCTTCAAGAATTTCCCCAAAAAAGCCTTCAGAAGCCTAGAAAAGACATCGAATAGAAACTTCCGAGGAAAGTCTAAGAAAACTAAACATTTTATGTTATTCCTGGATCATTACTTACAACATTACTAAAGTTAATGTGTTTTTCAGAACTGCTCATAAATAAATAACCCAGCTTCTTATGCATAGATCTTATCTTTACTTAGCAACCTTTATATACTATTTGGGCACTAAGTATAAGAATATTTGGGAAATCTGAAAACTAATTAAAAAGTCAGTATCAAATATCCAAGTAACAGAATAATTAAATTTGTGAACGAAAATATGTTCAATAAGCACAAAGATGTGATCAGTATATAATATGAAGGAATTGTAGAATAAGATCTAGTATAAGATATATGCTTGAAAAAGAACCAAAAAACAAACGAAATGTATACAGATCTAAGGTTTACCCTTAACAATCATAAACTACAGAAAATAATCATGGAACTAAATAGACTGTGACACACCGACATGAGGTCGAAGCCATCATAGAGATCATATTAAATGTAACCATTACATACATATTTTGAAAAGAGTAAGAACAAAGATTCTAACACAATATCATTAATTCATTTTATTTCGTAAGTTCTCGTCACCACCGAGAAACTGGAAGAAGGGTTGATGAACGTGGGAAAGTGTCTAAGAAACAATTTTTACTCACAAAAGTTTGTTGACAAATACAGAAAGCCTAAAGAAAACTAGACGGAAGTAATTACTGTCAATAAAAAACCAATATCTATGAATCTTAACTTCAAAGGTGATAATGTCGCAAACACAATTAACAGGAGACTGAACACTGCGCTAGCCAAAACGTATCCGGTGGTCAAACTTTTAATTCTGTATAAAAAAACATGTTCAATAACTCAATCAAAGGTTGACAAGCACCCCTTTTGTGTTAACGCCAACTGTATTTATAAATTTACGTGTACCTGCTATATTGGCCGACCAGGAAACGGGTATATCTTAGATTTTTAAACATGTTCCAAAGAGCCTCAGAAAAACAGAAAGAAAAACTATAAATAGTACAATCACCAAACATCTTCTTAATACAGGACATCAGGTCGATACCTTGCAATCCTTCAAGCTGATTAGCAAACAAACAAACTCTAGTCTTCTGAAGTTTACTGAAGCCGTTGCTAGCAAGCGTCAAAAAATTAACTTAAGTGTTCAAAAGGAGATGCTTATTAATCTTTCCTTGCCTTGGTGACTAATATTCCTTCACTGCATCTTTATATATATTTTTTCTTTTCTTTAATCTCTTTCTTGCACTTATTACATCATTGAGTTTTATTCCAACTATCTTCCAAATTAAGAATCTTATTTTATCAACTGAGCTCGACTCATTTTATTCCTATCAATGTTTACTTGTTTCTAGCCATTTGAACTGTTGTCACAATGTTCTTTCATCACATAAGGTATATATTGACAATATTCAGTCTATTAAATTCATTTACACCCTTGCTTTACTATACTAATATGTCTTCAATATAACTTTCAACCAAACTCTCCTATGTAAGTAATTTAAAGCCAATATGTAATTATGTTTTTAAATGTCACAGGTTGTAAGCAGCTGACGAGAAGCTAAAAAATAAAAAAAAATTATTCATGCTATTCTGTTAGGATCTTTATTCAAAATGATAATGGGGAATTATGTGTATGAAACATATATATATTTATCCTTTTATTTATACCCTAGTTACAAATATTTGTTTGTTCCTTCAGTTCCCTAGTTTCTTTCTTTTCCCCAGTATTTTCTACAAATTTTTCAATATTCTAAGGTCCAGGATAAAAAAAACATAAACAATCCACAGGTATTTAGTAATGGTAATATCAAACAGTATGAAATATGATTGTATTATATAAGATTATACACTATGGCATAATCAGTTCATATACACAATTTGAACAATGTGATCTTATTGTGATTTATGTAATTCACAGTGTATTTTATTGTACAATGTACTGAAGAGATTTTATTAAACTAAACAAGGAATAAAAACAACGTGACATTTATAGTATTGCTAATAATGAATTACCTGCGTCAATGGCATCTTTCTAAAAACAATTTCCAAACAACAACAAAAAATGAATTGTAATGTAACGAGTTGGAATGAAATCCAGGACATGCGTTTTGTTGATATTATAGAACTAGTTAGCCGGATACACTTGACATTTACACCGAGACTACAATATAACACTTATCGTTTCAAACAATAACATCTTATCTATCAAGCGAATGAGTTTACATAGCTTTAAATTCATTCAAAGTGTGTGATGTTTATCCATAAAAAACGTATAGTAACCCGTTGTGTATAAATAAAATTGAATTTTAACCAGTCTGTGTTGGTTTATCAAATGCATGTCTCAATATTACTGTTAGTTTCAATTGGTAGTATATTTTTAAATAATAGCTAGCGCTGGAATTCACCACAAGTGTTTCGTTCTTTTAGGAGTCTTAAGAACAATTACGAAGTATATAAATGATGAACAAATCAGTAACTATTTGGAATTAGTAACTGAAATGTCAATACATTGATGTTTGAAGTAATAGGTGCTACTTTTAATTCGTACCATAGACATTGATACTAAGCTGCAATTTTATCTAACTGAGAATTTCAATTAGGATAAAATATGTATCCTCAATTCCACTGTTAATCAGTTTATGAAACAGAAAATGGAGGTAACAATCATGGGCAACA